AAAAAAAATTCCACTGCCTGGCTCCAGCAAAGCAATTCATCATTTAGGTAACAAACTTTACACTTGGACAAAACATGTTGCATCTCCTCACCTGACATTTCAGATCCTCAAGCCATCTCTCTTAATTAACTATGAACATAGTTTCTATCTAATTCCATGCCATTCATTTGTTCATTCAACAAAGGATCAAATTGCCTACTATTTGCCTAGCAGCAGTATGAGTTGAACTGTGTCTCTCAAAAAACCATGTTGATGTTTTAACCCTTAGTACCTGTGAATATGACCTTATTTGGAAATTTGACCTTTATGTACATGTCATCAAGTCAGAAGGAAGTCACACTGGAATAGGAGCTCTGGGGCTGCTGTGGTGGTGTGGCATAGCAAGCCAATCATCTTCCTGCAGTGCTAACACCGGTTCACATCCCAGATGCTCCATTTCCTATCCAGCTTCTTGATTGTGGCCTAGGAAAGCAGTAGAGAATGATCCCAGGTCTTGGGACCCCGTACCCATCTGGAAGATCTGGAAGAAGCTCCTGGCTCCTGTTGCAATCGTTTGGGAAGTGAACCAAAAGATAGAAGTATGTGTGTGTGTGTGTGTGTGCATCTCCCTTTCTCTTTAATGCTGACATTCAAGTAAAATAAAAATATTTAGGGAAAATAAATAAATATTTGGGGGGGTGGAAAGAAGCCCATATGAGAAATAGAGACAAAGCAGAGATAGACATGGCAGGAGTGCCAGTGGGTGGACAAGGCCACCATCAGGGGACACATCCACAAGTGAAGGGAGGCCGAAGACTGCCAGCAAGCCCCACAACAGAGCAAAGACAAGGAGTGCGTCCTCCCTGGAGCCTTCAGACAGAGCAGAGCCGTGCAGAGCCTGCCAATACTTCAGGTTCTGGACTAACCACCACCTCCAGAACAACGAGCAAGCAGACATCTGCTCTCTAAAGCCCCAGATGCATGGTGGTCCCTAAGGCTTCCGGAGGAAACCAAGAGAGCAGGGAGGACCACTAAGGTCACCCGAACTGAGCCCCTTCTCTCTCTTAACACTTTAAACTCCAGCCCTACTTTATGACTTCCCTGTAACACGTCCCTCTGGTTAGAAAGTCCAGCCTTTGGGCCTGGCACCATAGCCTAGTGCCTAAAGTCCTCACCTTACACACACTGGGATCCCATAAGGGCGCCAATTTGTATCCCAGCTGATCCATGTCCCATCTAGCTCCTGCATGTAGTCTGGGAGAGCAGTTGAGGATGGCCCAAGACCTTGGAACCCTTCATCCGTGTGGGAGACCTGGAAGAGGCTCCTGGTTTCAGATTATTTCAGCTCCAGCAGTTGTGGCCACTTGGGGAGTGAACCAGCAGACAGATCTTTCTCTATATGTAAATTTGCCTTTCCAATAAAAATAAGTAAATCTTAAAAAAAAAAAAGAAAGAAAAAAGAAAAGGTCCAGCCTTTGTCATAGCCTAACCCAGGCACTTCTCTGCCCTGTGAAGCCCCTTTAATGTCTCTAGGCCACATCAATCTCTCCTGAACAGATTAATTTAATACATATTATTATAATGTGTATTATACAAAAACTGCCATTTAGTCCTTCACTATACATCTTGGTATATTCTCTTCCTCACCCCGTATTATCGACTCAATTTCCTGGGCCTCAATTTCCTTACCTAGAAAATGGGAAATCATAGTTTAGCAAAATTCATCTTGCGGCAAGAAGAGTCTAGGCAGTGTTAGGCCAGGGGGCTCAGGAGACAGGAGCCCTTTGCAGTGTGGAGGCTGTGAAGGGTGACCAAGCCAGGTCAGACTCAATGCCCGGGACTTGGCCCAAGGACACCGTTACCACACCGTGACCAAGTCCTAGGCTGTTAGGCAGCCAATGCACCCACTGGGCACCCAGGTTCTGCCTGCTGGCCACCCAGCAGTGAGCTCTAGGGTTTTTAGGGTATATAATTGCCGCCTAGGGACATCCATGGATAAGGCCAGTGTGAGTGTAGGTGAGGGATGAATTCTGGATGATGCCCAGATGGGGTCACGGAACTTGCTTGCAAGTGTGGGGACTGAGAACTGGTGGTTTGGAGGGGAGAGTCCATAAGATCTCTTGGGCCAGACTGATTCAGCAGCCCACATGGGAATCCTGAGATGGGCTGTCAGTGTAGAGCATCACTGACTACCACACTAACAGTCCATACAAAAGCTATGACTGTGGGCCTGTCTGGCAGGGCTAGGTACCAGCACCTGACTAAATGGTGGAACAGGGGACAGGTCACACTCGACAGGGACAAGACACTAACACGTGAGAGAACCAGGTCCGGGGGTAGATTCTGTGGGGGATATGTGGGCCAAATGCTGTGGAAATACAAGTGATGGCCTGAGCTAGGTGTGACCAAGGAACCGGCCATCACTCACAGGTAAAGGAACTGACAACAGTCTAGGCAAGTCAAGGCGCCAGCACCCGAATGTGCATGCTAAACAAAACAGGATGTGGGGTGGGCCGAGCTGCAACTGGAAGGGGGCAGACTGAGCAGGGCCGAGTAAATCTCAATTCGTGAGGAAGAACAGAAATCACGATGTTGCACAGGTCATGCAGAGCTAGACTCTTACACCAACTGCTCTGCATGAGCCAGGCATACTAGGCCAAGCATTGAAGGAAAAGGCTGAGACAGGTGAGGGGCTAAACCAACTGGGTCAGAGCAATCACTGGCACATATGTAATCTAGGGCTGGGAACAGGCCCATTTGGGGAGATTTGAGTGTACACCTTGGCTGGGTTGGGGTTTCCACTGGTAAGTGTGGGGGCCGGAGTGGGGACTGTGTTCTGGTCTGGATATGGCTGCAGTCTTCCTTGGCATAAGTGTGGATTGGGACTAGGCACACCAAGCCTGGCTAGACTACAGCACCATTTGGGGCTCTGGAGAACCAGGGTAGATGTAGGACAGACTAAGCTAGGTCTCTGCCCCTACTAAGCCATGTGTGAGCTGTGTCTGCGTATGGATAATCCTTGACTGGGCTGAAACATCCAACAGTATGAACCGGAATGGGTTGAAGGCCAGTAAAGAAAGGCCACTGTTACTGCCAGGCCAGGAAGTAGACTAAGTAGGGCTGGCTCATGGACCCACCAGTATGTGCAAGATCTGGCACTGGGAGAGGTTCTGACGGAGGAGCTTGGGAAACTCCTCTGTTGGGACACAGTCTCTGCAGGTGAGCACAAGAACCACGATAAGGACCAACCCAAACCAGGCCAGGGAAAGGCACACTGGCATACATTTAGCATAGGTCAGAGGCAAACCAGGCTGAACAAGTTCACATCACCCACGAATCCGAGCACCAGAATAGAGTGTGGGTCGGGCCAGGTTCAGTCGTAGCACATACCAATGCACATTACAGCTTGGATTGAATGCCTGCTGGGCTGGGTTAGGCTGAAACCCTCACCAACGTCAGCTGGAATTGGGGGTGGGCCGGGCCAGGCCAGGCTACAACACCTACTGGCAACGCCAAGGCAAGGTGGGCCGTACCAGACTGGGCCACAGCACCCAACCAGCACGTGTGAGAACCAGGGAGGAAGGGGACAAAGCCAGCAGGGGGAATGTGGAGGGCTCCCCTGCTGGACAACCACTCCAACTGGAAAGCGTGGGCTGGGATGAGGGCAGACCAGACCAGGCAGGGCAACAACACCTGTGGGCATCATGTGAGCTAGATCAGGGAAAAGCCAGGCTGGACTGACTGTTCCGACTGGTGCAAGCAAAAAATCAGAGTGGATGAGGGTTGGTTGGGCTTTGCCACAGCATCAGCTGGCAGAGGCTGGCACTGGGGGCTAATTCTGTCAAGTTAAACTCCAGAACAACCTGGAGAGTGCACAATCCAGGAGTGGGAGTGACCCAAGAGGAAATAGTGGACACCTCCCTCTTGGGTTACCATTCCTACTGGAGAGCATGAAAAACAGGTCTGGGGCCGGGCTGGCTAGACAGAATAGCACCCGCCAGCACGGGAGTGGACTAGATAGTAGGACTGGTTGGGCTGAACTAGACTTCAATGCTCATTGACACGTATGAGAGCTAAATGGGATGTGGGAACGACTGAACAAGTCTGTGGTACATAGTGGCAAGCATGGGAACCAGGGTAGGGGGTAGGCCTGGTGGGGGGTTGGAGGAGTCGCCCCAACTAAGCTGCAGCTCCTACTAGGTTTGCGTGAGGACTGAGCATGAAATCACTCTTCTTTCTCTAAATCTGCCTTTCAAATAAAAGTAAATAAATCTTTCTAAAAAGCTTTCTTCTTTTAAAAAGATTTATCTTATTATCTTTATTAAAGAAACAGAAAAATCTTTGTCTGCTGGTTCACTCCCCAAGTGGCTACAATGTCCAGAGCTGAGACAATCCAAAGCCAACAGCCAGGAACTTCTTCCAGGTCTCCCACATGGGTACAGGTCCCAAGGCTTTGGACTACCCTCTACTAATTTCCCAGGCCACTAGCAGGGAGCTGGATGGGAGGTGGAGCAGCTGGGATACGAACTGGCACCCATATGGGATCCTGGCAGATGCAAGGAAAGGATTTAGCCAACAGGCTATCACACCGCCCTCCCACCCGAAAAAAAGGTTTTGAAAACCAAGCTACTACTATTTACCTGCTCTTGTGACTGCATTTTACTATCTATTCCACAGTCACAATATATCTTGCGAGTTAGAGCTCAAACTCAGAGTCCAGCTGTTTCTCTAACCTCTGCTGCCATCACCCAGCCATGATCCACCATCAGTCCTCAGCTGTCAGAGCCTGTGCTAGTATGTGTGCTCCCCCTGACTCCCTACACCTGACCATGTCACTGCACATTGCCCTGCCACTTCAGATCTTCCACTGGCCCCATCTCAGTACCCACATCCCCAAGCCAGCTGTGCTCAGCCTCTCTTTACTCTCTGCCCTTGTCCTAACCCTGGTCTCTGTGTGCCCCTCATGCACATGTCTAGAATATGTACACTCCCCAGATACCCAGGGAAGGATTTACTCATCCAGCCAGGATGGAGAATGGAACAATGGGAAGGAGAAGAAAGGAATGATGGGGAAATGTTGGATTTATGTTCAGAAATGGAAGGTTCAAATTCCAGTCCTGCATCGTGACACTGTGTGGTTTTCAATGCCTTGGTTTTCATATCTGTAAAGTATGGACAAACCATCCCTAAATCACGGGCCTGCTGAAGCATACATGAAACTGTAATATGAGAACATTTCATAAGCTCTAAATTCTGCAACATGCAAATGTTAGTTAACGCTGTTAACTTACAAATAATTACATTTCAACAGCCAAAATGCAATTTGGGACTATAATTATGGGGCTTAATTGACTCCATACACAATAAATAACTGAACAATCACTCGAAAATAGAGGCACATGGAAATTCTACAAACCAAATACACTACTCCCTAACTATTAATGCAGACATGCTCTTACATTCTTGTCCATTCAGTCTTCCCCCTGCAAATGACCTTATCCCAGGCTCTGGAAAACTGCAGAGCATGTTAGACAGAAACTTTGGCCAGGTTCTAGGCTTCAGAGATGTATAACTCTGCTGCCCCCCAAAACAGACTTCTTTCCATACCTCACAGCACAATGCGGCCAGTGCGCATAGCAGGTGCTCAGAAAACAGGCTGCTTTTCCCACCCCACAGCACAATGCGGCCAGTGCACACAGCAGGTGTCTAGCAATGCCAAAGGGGCTTCCCTCCAGGGTTCTTCAGGTTCACTATGGCCAAAGCAGCGTTGGCTTTTGCACTTACATCAGCATGCCAATGTTACATTTATTTATTCAAAGCGCAGAATGGCAGACAGACTGAGAGATCTTTTACCCAGTGCCTTGTTCACCAAATGTCCACAACGGCCAGAACTGGAAACCAGTAACTCCATCCTGGTCTCCACACAGGTGGCAAAGATGCTAGTACTTGGGACACTATCTACTGTCTTCCCAGGTATATTAGGAGGAGCTGAATTGGAAGCAAACTAGCTGGGACTCAAACTGGAACTTAATATGGGATGCTAGCATTGCAAACAGCTGAATCTATTGTACCAAATGCACACTGAGCCCACGCGCAGATATTTAGAATCACATCCATAACTATGTGCTCATCCCCTTTTGGGAAAGCATGAAGGTAGAGTTAATGATCAGACAGAAAGAAGTACTTGCAGCAGGTAAAGCCTAACAACGGAGATCAAAGGAGTATGCCAAACATCTCTTCTTTTTCCCCATGGAGAAAACACAAGGAAATAACCTTCCCTTCTCTGCCTCCCTGCCTCTTTGGCCCTTTAGTTTCTGCCGCCCTCTCTGCTGCTCACTGGTGGCACATGAGCTGCACGTGGTAGGGCATCACCAGTTCACTGCTCTTCTGGGTCTGTCTGGACAGACGCTAGGTCACTCTGAGGACTCAGAGTGGCACATCTCCAGCACAACCCTTTCTTCTTGCTGATATCAACCACAGTGGTAGAACTCCTGCCTGCACCAAAGAGGTGAGGGCGTCCTTGCTCACCACTCCACGAAATGTTCAGTCTGCTCCACATCCTAACATAGTCATCTCTTCTTGTAAATTTGCTGATGAATGCTGGCAGGTTGATGCAGATGGATGTCTCAAAGTGGAAGAGCTGCTCCTCTGTGTCCCAGAGGCCACCAGGACTTCAGCAGAGCACAAAGTGAGAACAAAGCCGAACAGCTGCTCTGGACCTAACGGAACTGGCAGCCCTGGCTCAGGAGGCCATCTGACCGCCTGACTCGCCTTCCCTTACTGCTTCATGTGAGAGCAGGAGGAACTGCCTGAGAGATGTGTCCTGGATGACTGCCCCTCAGTTCCCATCTCCCCAGCCCTGGCTCCCAGACCATGAAATCAATGCTGTCAGCAACCTGACTCCCTGAGGCATGTGGACACTCTCAGGAAAACAGCCAAACATCTTAAATTCCTGGTTCCAGCCTTAGCCTCCCAATGACCATGAACAAGCATCTCTGAGAGGCAGGGAATTTGGGTTAAGTGCCACACATGGATACAATCATGTCAAAAACACATCATCATTTTAGAAAAGCTGGAAATATAAAAGAAAATCAGATTCCCTATAAACCTTATGGCCTAAAGGTACTCATTGTGAGCATTGCGCATTTTCCTTCTAGCCTCACACATGTGTGCATTTAAATGTGGCTACACGTACCTGTGTGTATCAATGGACTCCTACAAAGGGTCTCTATAAAGTTGTGGGGAATGAGAACTGTGAAATAATTGTGCATGGACTTCAAAATGTTTTGCACCAAAATAAACTCATCTTTTTTATTTCAATGTTTTTAACAGTAAGTGGAATTTTTTTTTGAAGAACCTTGGTGTGTGTATGTATAGGGATATATAAAAATAGATGGTTTTTATAACCTCTATATGTTGTATCCTTTATGTCTTTATTGACTAATGATGCATCGCTGTATTAAGGTCAATTTTACATGATTACACAAGTCTTTTTTGGGAACTGTTTAGTGTGACATTCTCTGTAACACTGCATCCTAGACTCTTAGTTAAATCATGCAGCGCCGTAAATACCAACGGACTTGCTGGGAATGAAATGTTCATCGCACAGCACGGTATCTGCACGTGCCGGTCCCTGTTTTAGGGTCTGCTGCCTTTGTGACAATCACCAACGCTCCTTATTTTATTCAGCAGCCATTTTACTGGTGCTTTTGTGACATAAAGAAGGTAAAGTCTTCTGCAGTTAAGAGAAAGTGTGTTCCCTCTTCAGGAGTTAAAACCTTATCTTAGTGGTTCACAGGATTCCTTGAACAGATGGGTAATAAATAACTGACTGTTTACATTGTCAGTCAGGCACAACACTGATAGCAAGCTAGAGCATACTACTGCCCCTCCCCTAGGCAGTGCTAGCTCTGGGTGAACCTGTGGCAGGATTCATCTCTGGGTCCCTCCAGGCACCTGCCCACGTGTACTTGCAGAGAGGACCCAAGATCAGAAAGGGAGGCAGGCGGTGAGTACCTAGAGAAGCTTTCAGCCACTGGCCACTGAAGGATGCTCATATTCTAAATCAGACTGTGTGGAATTGATGGCTTGGATGGAGTTCTGGGCTCCTGGCTTCAGCCTGGCCCAACACTGACTGTTGCAGGCAGGCATTCTGGGAATGAACCCAGAGGTACAAGCACTCCCCTTCCCCTCTCCTTCTGCCTTTCAAGATGAAACATAACAAATAAACATTAAGAAAAAGACAGATTTCCAACCCATTGTCTTCTCATTTAGGTAAGAAAGGCTGCACGGCACCAAACACATGTGAAGCCCAGGAAGGGTTTATGCATTTCTCATTGCTGAACTTGACCCTGGGACTCTCAGTCCTGGGTTTCAGAAACCCAACTGATATGGCCTCAAGCAAAATGTAAGGTGTTTTTGTTTATTTGTTTGTTTGTTTTTGGTACACTGAATTAAAAGGTAGAGAAGTGGAACTGTTGCCAGAGCAGGGCTAAGAACATCAAACTTGCTCCTCACCCCCATCACCTTCCATTTTCATTTCTGTGGGTTGCATGTAGGCAGGCATTTCCCATGCAATAACAAGATGGTCCTGAATAGCTCTGGCTATTCCCAACATCTTGAATGAATGGAAAGGGGGCTTCTCTTTCCCAACAGATTTTTCAAAACCTTAGGAACTGAGGAGTGCATCGTGGCACAGCAAGTTAAGCTGCCACTTGGGTGGCACCCCTCCCACATGAATTGCCTGGGATGGAGTTCTGCCTTCACTTCTCACCCAGCCTCCTGTTGAAACACACACCATAGGAGGCAGCAGGGGATGGCTCAAGTACCTGGAACCCTGCTACCCACATGGGAGACCTGAACGCAGTTCCTGGCTCTGGGTTTCAACCTGGCCCAGTCCCAGCTATGGCAGGCATTTAGGGAGTGAACCCGTGAATGGAAATCTCCCTCTCTCTGTCACCCTACCTTTCTAATTAAAATAAATAAACTTTTTTTTTTAAAGCTCAGTGATTGAGTCCCATAACATGGGGTCCTGGCTGGGCTCACTCGCCTCTCTCTAAATCGACTTTGCTCACAGAAAGGGGTAAATCACACAGTCTGAGAGTTGGGAGAACCTGTTTCCCCAGCAGAAAATCAGGCTGCTATATCATAAAAGGAAGATGTTGCTACTTGAAGAAAAAATAAAATGAGAACATGCATCTATCATTCCCCTCTCTAGAGGCTATCCATTCATTATTATCTACCTATTATGTTATTATCGATATACATCATTTCTTCCATTTGTGTGACTTCAACAATCCCCATACCTGACAGGAGGTAATTATACCTAAAACCCAAATCATCCTCTCATCATGGATAACTCAAAATCATGCCCTGAAGACCCACAGTCTTGAGGTCTTGCAGATTCCTCTCAGTGAGGCCTGGTGAACAGTACCATTTTAACATCTTAGAAGCACCATCCCCAAAACACTCAGTGTACAAGAGAAAAGAAGAGATGATATCAGAATTTTCCATTTGGGAATGAGAAGGGGAAACAGCGTACAATCACGGGTCCTTTACCTGCGCCATGCTGTGCTACGAAGACAGCAAGGACACATGCTCTTAGCAACAGGGTGAAGCCCAAGACAACCCTACCCACTTACCTTGGATCTTCTCCTTGAGGGCCACTGTCTCCCATCAGCACAACAGAGAGAGGAGCCTGGAGAGGGTCTGACAGTGGCCCACCTACAGGTGTATGGGTTTGGAGATCGTGGATGGCCTGAGGGATGAACAAGACCCAGGCCCTTGTTAGTCATCCTGGGAGTTTTCAGGCAAAGCAGCTCTCTAAGAAGTCTAGTGCTCAGGACTCTTTCAGTCAATTTGCATCTGGTCATTTCATGGGATATTAACTAGCACATGAGGCCCTGTCCTTCATCTTCTAGACACTGGCCTGAGAGCTCTGTTTCTCTGCAGAGGCCTCAGGTCTCTACCCTTGGCCTCAGGCCTCAGCTGCAGGGTGGGGAGGGGAGCACTTTGTCCCCTAATCAGTGGAATTCAAAACTGGGACCAGAATGGGGAGACTCAAGGCTAATCTGGCTCTTGCCCTGCTGCATAGGATAATTACTGTTCTAATGAGTCACTGGTTTGTTTCCCACAGCCACCTCTATTCTTCCATAGTCTATACTTATAAGACTCTTCAAATTCTTGTTGACATACAGCAGACAAAGAAGTGCAGAATCCTGCAGTTCCAAGCTCCTCCCATGTGATGATACTGATTACAGAGCAGTAAACAACCAGTACCTCCCCAACTGCTGACATTCACAAGCTGGCATGGCCTGGACAAAAAATTAAACCTAAATAACATTCAGTGAACTAGCACAGCAGAAGACAACCTGCTCCCAATCCCCAAACGGGCACCAGCAAGATCAACGAACAAGACAACTCAGCAGTGGGTGACTTATGGTCGGGGGTGGGGAGGGGTGGAATAGGGCAGAAATAAAACAGTTTCAGAACAAACATGAACTCCTTGAATTGGAGTCCTGTCAAAGATTAAAGGTGAGTCATCATTAACCCCAATCTAAGCCTTACATCAGGACAGCAGAAAACCAGAGAAATAAACAGAAGCCCCGACTTAGCCAACATATTGCTGAAACAGCTCAAACCAGGTGAGAGGGTCTCCTGTACCACCCCGTGCCGCCCCAGCCTCTCTCCCACAGAGGCACCACATTCAGCAAGCATATGAAAGAGAGTTAGGAAGGAATGGAGAGAAATGAGTATCCTAAGAAATGGAAAGAAGAATTTGCATGTAACTCAGCCTATTCATCTTCCTAGCTTATATCATACACTTTCACAAAAATAGAACTTGCCAGCCAGGATTAGTCCTGTGGATTAAATCGCCTGCGATCATTGTTCCTGCAGTGAGGAAGGGACCGACAGAAGACAGAAACAGAACTGTGTAGGACTGTGTGTGGAAAAGCCAGTGCCCTCCGCCCCGGGGCCCCATGAGGCAAGGCATCAATTACCCTCGTAAAGGCACTGGTATCTTCCACCCTGACCATTTTCCTGAACCTGCCTCAAATTGGGTCCAGTGCATACAGTGACAAATATTTGTCCTTGGGGCTTTAATTGGTTAGATTTTCTTTTCTGTGACTATTCTTGGTTTTTAAGCCCCTGTTTTCCTATCTGAAATCCTTGGTCTCCTCAGTTCTTTCTTATTGGAAATCTTAACCTTCCTGGGGCTTGTGGTCTGTACCATAGTGTGGGACAGGATTAAAGTGAAGCTCATTCACTACCAGGGTATCAAGTTGCCCCATCAGTGACATCAAAGATCCTAGCTCCCAGAACAAAAACATCACACAGATCTCCAGTACAATCAACACAGGGGCAAAGGGATATATCCTCCAAGCCATGAGGAGCGGAGCTCAAGCAAGAAACACTGGCAAACATGTCCAATGACAAATTCCATTCATTATAGATACCATTTCCTGGGCACCTCCCTCGCATCTCTGAGCCTGGAGTGAGGCAAGTTTCATCACCAAGTCACAGTCATGACTGTCACTTCTTCAGGGCTCACTAAATGCCCAAAGCTGCGCCCAGCGTGCTACAGACTTATCCTGCTGCATTGTCAGAAGAGCCCAGCGCTGCAGTGGGTACTGCTGTTTTTACAAGCAATGAGACAAAGACTGCAGAAGGTCATTCTTGGAGACCATGCATGGTTCCGAGAGATCTAACCCATAGTGCCAACTGTGGCTAACTGCTAACTGCTATCCCCACCCTCCCCCCCACACGAGAAGTGAGAACTGAATTCAGAATCCGAAGGCCAGGGGCTAGCACTCCTTCATGAGTCATCTCTTTGGTGCCGAACACTTGTTTCATATCTCTGAACCCGAGCTTCCTTTTGACAAAAAGAGGCTGGTTCTTCTGCCCCATATTTGTCACAAAGTTGTCACGTGACCACAGATTCCCACCTCAACTTGCAGTCCCCCGCACAGCATTTTATATTCAATAAATGTGGATTAAAGGAACACCGCACCCCAAAGCACTTAGAAAGCTGAGGCATGTCATAAAATACAAGTGTATGATGAGATTCATAAATTGCTGCAGCCCATGGCCACCTATGCTGAGGCCCAGCTCTGCTGCCGTGACCTCCCCAGGAATCCAAGTCCTCAACGGAACACCCCTTGTAGTCTTTCAACTCCAGTAAAGCATCATGCTGAAGGCCCAGCACAGTAGCTTAGCAACTAAAGTCCTTGCCCTGAATGTGCCGCTATCTCATATAGGCGCTGGTTCTAAACTTCCCATTCAGCTCCCCGCTTGTGGCCTGGGAAAACAGTCGAGAACAGCCCAAAGTCTTGGGACCCTGTACCCACATGGGTGACCTGGAAGAGGCTCCAGGCTCCTGGCTTCGGATTGGCTCAGCTCTGCCCAATGCAGCCACTTGGGAAGTAAATCACGGATGGAAGATTTTCCTCTTTGTCTCTCTTCCTCTCTGTGTATCTGACGTCACAATAAAAGTAAATAACCCTTAAAAAAAAAAAAGAATCATGCTGAGTATCCACTCCCCTAGAACAGCTCATGTTCGCCCAAGTTTATGATGAGAGAATTTACTGTGGGACTGATACTGTGGTGTAGTCGGTAGGGTCATTGTCTACAACACTGACTTCTCATATAGGCACCATTTCAAATCTCAGTCATTCCACTTCCAATACAGCTTCTTGCTAATATATCTGAGAAAGCAGTAGAGGACAGCCCAAGACCTTGGGCCCCTGCACCTATATAACAGACCTAAAAGAAGCTCCTGGCTCTTGGCTTTGGCCTGGTCCAGCCCTGTACATTGCAGCCATTTGAGGAGTGAACCCATGAATGGAAGATCTCTCTATCTCTCCTCTATAAGTCTGCCTTTCAAATAAAATTTATAAGTAAGTCTTCAAAAAAAAGTCTGCTGTGTATTCCCGAGCTCCTCACCCTCAGTGTCTCACACCATCCCCTAGGCCTAGCATACACCATCTTAGCATCTTTGCAGGTTGTCATAACATCGTAGTGTTTCTCCAAAGGGAAGAGTTGCTCTAAAACGAAAGGAATAGGTTTGCACTCAAAGAAAATGCTCTGAAAAGCAAGGCACTGGATGTTGATGTAAGGGGATAAGGAAGCCTTAGTGGGGCCACCATAAGCCCAGCCTACAAAGATGCTGCATCTGCCTTCCAGAATCCTGGGTTATGAGACAGCATAGCGTAACTGCCTCCCAGTCAGGCATTAGCTACATACACACACCCCAAGGACCTGAGAACATGGCTCCCCTCTGAGGTGTGCCTACTAGCTGCCCCTACTAGCCTGGCGACTCAGGGCTGCAGGCTCCATGAAGGCTTCTCCCTGCTACCAGACACATCCTCGCTCAGGTCAGAACCAGGACTGGTGAAAGCCCCCCCACACACACACACTCCACAGCCAGAACAGTCATCTGGCCCACTCATTTTGCAGGCTGCTCCAGCTTCAGGGTCCAGGTGAGAGCCCCCACCTCTGCACTCTAAAAAGAGCTCTCGACTTCCCAGTCCCTGGAACACCAGTGGGACTGAGGCAGTGGGTGGAGCCATCTGGCCTATACCTTTGTCTCCTGAAAAAAAATTCGGACGAGGCCCAGGAAGGCCCCCCAGGAGCACTGAACGCCTGCAGACAGATTGTCTGACAGGGATGATGCAACCATGGTAGAGGGTAGGGGAATGTGCTGCAGGGTTTGCAGTCCGCCCCATCTGTTCAGCACTACTCTGGCCATGGAGGCACCGAATAGCTCACCAGCCAGGAGCCATGCTGCCTGAAAGAATCTTTAGGGACAAATCAGACCCTACTGTGTGGGGGGCTACCAAGGGCTTCCACAGGCTCAGAACAAAAGCCAAGACACACATGACCCCTCATGCAGCCCACTGATTCTGAGGTCCAAGAAATTGCCAGCCCTGGCCTTGAGCAGCGCTCAGGACACAAAACGATAGACAAGATACCACGGCTGCCCCCTGCAGGTCACAGGTTCCTGGGCAGCCCATGACTGCAGTTAAATGGGGGGACGCTGAATTGATGGCCAAGAAAGGCTAACTCCAGCTGGACTGTGAAGGGCTTTCTATGCCAAGTCAAAATGCTTACATTTTATCTCTACATTTGTGAGGCACAGGACATGATCCAGCGTGCACAGGAAGAAAATACGAACATGTTTCATCTTCATACAATTAAATATAGGGAAGTCAGCTTTGCTAATATCTACCATGTGCCAGGACTGTCACCGGGATCCCTCATTCGCCGTCACAAGTCATCCAGGCTTCAGAGACATCCCAGCAGGAGGTTGGGCAAAGAGTAGACGTTTCACAGTGGACAGAGCTTGACTGTGGCTCCCTTGAGTGTGACCCGTTACAGACAAGCCTGGATTATGCGAAACTAAGAGAGAACTTAATTTTTAACTAATCTAACTATCCCCCAAACAGAGAAGTGGCTCAAATATTTTTTTCTCCCAAAGAGAAATTGTGTGTGAGATGACTGGCCAAGATGAGAACCTGACAAGTCCCTAGCCACATTAAGAGGGAAAACAACAACAACATAATCAGATCTCACAAATCAGTCAGAGAGTGAGTGAATTACCAAGAAGCTTACTTGAAACACAGCTTTGCATAGACCGGTGATAATAAGGGGTCTGATCCTAATGTAAATTGTGCTCAAGACATTAGCTAATGACAGTAATGAAGCCACTGCAATTAACAAGACATCTAAGAAGCCTGTTTACTTATCTTCACTGAGGTACTTTTTTTCAAATTAATATTTTTGCAGGCTTCATGATGAGCAAAACTCGTTGGTATGGTAATGCAGGTAGAAAAGCACAAACAAATGAGACTTAAGGATGCCTGCTGGGAGTGCACACACAGCACTCTCCACAGCCCACTGCTGGGAAGCCACCCTAGTGAACAATGCAACTCAGAAATGGCCTCAACCCTCATCCAGGCCCTACTGCTCTTTCTGAACACGTCTTTAGCTTTCACCCCCAACGACAGACAGAAAAACACTCAAACAGAGGCTCTCGGGAGCTGGTATTGTGTGGCAGAGACTAAAGGCACCTCCTGGGACAGCTACATGTGTTTCAGAGCATCAGCTGCCCATGCTCAGGAGCTGTCACCTGCTCCTGTGTGCTGAGAGGCACCAGGGGATGAGGACGTGCGTGGTTGGGCCCTGCCACCAACATGGCAGACCCAGATGGACTCTGGGCTCTTGGCTTTGGCCTGGTCCAGCCCTAGTTGCTGTAGGCACTGGGGGAGCAAATCACCAGATGGAAGAGATCCCTTTCTCTCCCTCTTTTATACTCTCCCTCTCTCGCTCTACCTTCCAAATAGATGAAAATAAATATTTCTTTAAAAGATTTCAAAACACAGAGGGGAAATGGCTGCCTTCTTCCAGCTTCGTCAAAAAACACTGATCCTTCCAATCCAGCTCACTGTTAGTGCTCCTGGAAAAGCAGCAGAAAATGGTTGGAGTGCTTGGACCCTTGCTCCTATATGGTGACCTGGAAGGAGTTCCAGCCTCTTGTTTTGGTCTGTCTCAGATCTGGCTTTACAGCCATTTGCGGAGTGAACCAGCAGATAAAAGGTTTCTCTCTGTCTCTGTCTCTCTCAGAGTATATGTCTATCTATAATCCTTCCTTTCAAATAAATTTTAAAAAAAAAATTTTTAAGATGCCAATAGGAGACCATCGTGGCACAACAAGTTGAGCCACAGCCTGTGGCACTGGCATCCTACATGGGTGCCAGGCCTCCAAGCACTCAAAGGGATACCTCCTGTGTCTTCCCACTCCAATAGGGAATCCTGCTGGGTCTCCACTCCCCTGGGACAGCTCCAGATCATCCAGGTTTGTGATGAAAGAGTCTGGAGGGACCAGCACTACAATAAGCATAGCCAGTAGGGCCACCACCCGCAACACCAACACCCCATACAGATGAGTCAAGCTGTTCCACTTTTTTTTTTAAGATTTATTTATTTTTACTGGAAAGGCAGATATACAGAGAGAAGGAGAGATAGAAAGAAAGATCTTCCATCCACTGATTCACACCCCAAGCAGCCACAATGGTTGGAGCTAAGCTGATCCAAAGCCAGGAGCCAGGAGCCAGAAACCTCTTCTGGGTCTCCCACGCGGGCCCAGGGTCGCAAGGCTTTGGGCGCCCATATGGGATTCTGGATCTTTCAAGGCAAGGACTTTAGCCATTACGTTATCGTGCTGGCCCACTGCTCCACTTCCCATCCAGCCCCTGGCTGATGAACCTGGGAAAGTAGTGGAGGATGGTCCAGCTACTTGGACTCTGCAACCCACATGGGAGACCGATATGAAGGTCCTGGGCCAGCACTCACTATTGTGTCCATTTGGAGAGAGAACCAACAGGTGAAGACTTTCTCTCTCTCTCTTTCTCTCTAATTCTGCCTTTCAGGTAAATAAATAAGGGGTCAGTACCGTCACATAGTAAACTAAACTTCTACCAATAGCACTGGCATCCTATATAGGTGCTGCTTTGAGTCCCAGTTACTTTACTTCCCATGCACTTCCTAGTTAAGATCAGGGAAAGCAGCAGAGGATGGCTCAAGTCCTTGAGTCAATGTGGGAGACCTGGAAGCAACTCCATAGTTCTGGCTTCAGATGAACTCAACTCTGGTCACTACAGTCATTTAAGGAGTAAACCAGCAGGTGGAGGACCTCTCTCTCCTTTCTCTTTGTCTTTCTCTCTGTAACTTCACCTTTCAAATAAAAATAAAATAAAACAAAGCTTTAAAACTAAATAAATTGGGGCCCAGCATTATAGCGTAGCGGTTAAAGTCCTCACCTTGATATGCCGGGATCTCCTATGGGTACTGATGCTAGTCCTGGCAACCCTGCTTCCTGTCCAGCTCCCTGCTTGTGGCCTGGGAAAACAGTCAAGGATGGCCCAGGGCTTTGGGATCCTGCATCCAGGAGAGAGACCCAGAGGAAGTTCCTGGCTCCTGGCTTCGGATTGGCTCAGCTCCAGCCATTGCAGCCACTTGGGGAGTGAACCACCAGACAGAAGATCTTCCTCTTTGTCTCTCCTCTTCTCTATATATCTACCTTTCCAATAAAAATAAATAAACTTTAAAAAAAAAAACAAAATAAATAAATGTTTTTTTAAAAAAGATTATTTTTATATTAGCTGATCCAAAGCCAGGAGCCAGGAGCTTCTTCCAGGTCTCCCACACAGATGTAGGGTCCCAAGGCTTTGGGCCATGCTTGACTACTTTCCCAGGCCACAAACAGAGAACCGGATGGAAAGTGGAGCAGTTGAGACATGAACCAGCACCCATATGGGATCCCATGCTCGCTAAGGGAGGATTAGCCAATTGAGTCATTGTCCTGAGCTCAAATAAAAAAATATATATATATATATATTTTAATGCCAGTGGACTACTGTTTTTAAACACAACAACAAGGAGTACGTAGCAATAACAACATATGAGAGAAACCTATACTAGCAGATCCTTGTCTTGTGCCGGGGCCTGAAATTCTGTGATGATTCTTGTCTCATACACATACAAACTAAAGTACTGTAAAGTCCTTCCAGTAGATCACAGGAGGCAAAGCAGCGCATCCCAGCTCTGACAGACCGTCTGCCTCTCCTGCACTCTGGCCTGATTTATGATGAACGAGGTGGCTTTTTGCCCTGACAGCTTCTGCCGCCGTTGGAGGCAAGGTCAGGGTTAGAGTTCTATTTGTTTGTTGCTTTAATAAATAATGCTCTCCGTTGCCACGCCACTGTGGGAATCTAAACAGCTTACAGAAAGGGTGGTGAGCTAGCAGACTATCAGGAACTGTCGCTGTCACTCACCCGGACTCCAGCCTCTCCAGCACAACTGTGTGGGTTTGGTGCCCCCTGCTGTCCCTTTCTCTTTTCTGCCAGAGGCGGACATACCGTCCATGGAGGCTCAGGTCACCAGCAGCAGCCTGTGACAGCTGGGAGAGCCACAGTCTTGCAGAAACGCATCTGAAAAGTGAACAGCATGTGACTCAAGACAACAAGGAAAACAAATCCAACAAGGCAGTTCTGAGTCTCCCCCTCCCACCTATCACTCTGAATTCTTGTGCAACCAGAGGGACAGCAGCAGGACCTGGGAGGGACAATGTACCAGCCTCCTCATCGGGGCAACTGTCTTCTGCGTGCCCTGGAAACACGCCTGGCGTTGGTACCTACCCTTCAGTGCATCTCAGCTGACACTGGGAAACAGGCCCAGTCATTTCCATCATTTCTTCAAGAAGCAAGTGCTAAGCCTCTCCACCAAGCCATGAGGCTCCAATCACGGCACAGAGGGCCATAGGCTTGGGACACAGGCCCTGCTCTCAAATGCCTTTCTGCCTAGAGAGCAGGGAAAAAAGAGAGAAAATGACATACTATGGTTAATAACATGAGCTGCCATTTATCGATCCTGCCACTCTGTCATGATTTCCAAGGTTAACAGCAACCTAGAGGCTAACAATTACCATGGTACAGATGGACACAGGACACCTCAGCAGGGGCAGGCCTCCAGCCTGGCCAAGCTCCCTGCTCTGTAGCTTGGTCTGCTGCACACATGGGTAAAACTGATCCATCTAATCGATACACACACACACACACACACACACACACACACACACACACACGGCTGCACAAGCAAGGGAAGCCTCTCACACCACGGGCCTGGGCATGAGGGGCGTGGGGTGGCATGGGGTGAGGGCGAGACAGTGTCTTACTTCATTTGCTTCAAAAACAAACAACATTTGGGCTGACATTGTGGCACAGCAAGTTAAACCTCTGCCTATGGCACTGGTATCCCAGACAGGTGCTGATTCAAGTCTGGGCTGCCTCATTTCCAACACAATTCCATGCCAATAGTCTGGAATAGCAGCAGAAGAGAGCCCAAGATGACCAGAAGTTCCCAGCTCCTGGCTCTGGACCAATCCAGCTCCAGCCATTGGAGGCATCTGGGGGTGAACCAGGACATGGACAACATCTCCCTGTGTCTCTCTCGCTAATAAATCTTAAAAGCAAAGCAAAGCAAAAAGATTTAAGGCTCACAAATATCTCATAGAATTATGTGAGAAAAATACTGTTAAATGCTAATGAAATTATTCATTGTAAAAACTGCCAATATTTGCTCATTTGGGTAGGTGAATACACGGTTTTTCATTATCTTATTCTCAGTAGAATCCTCTGTAGTTTTCAAAATTCTCCTAAAGTATATATTTTTAAGAAGAGACAGACACTGGGAAGAAATGAGTGTTCTCCAAGGATCTGAATGTGAAATCAGAAACAGCAGTTTGCCCACTTAACAATCACACAGGAGCCTGCCTAGGAACCCACTCGCGTATTCAGCAGCTCGCATCTGGGGATCTCTGGGTGCTTCACAAACACCAATTAACTGCTCCTGTTGCTCCCTGCAAGATGGAGGTGTGTTCTGCAGACTGTTAAATGGAGTTCTGGGAAAGCCAAGTGTCTGATCTCACATTGCACTGTGAGTTAGAGACTGAGCTGAAAACATAACTTTACAAGCAAGACACTCAGCCCCGTGGCTCAGCCACGGCTACGAAGGCGTCTCATAGAGCTGAGGCGACCTCACCTCCACCCCCACAACACTCATCCCCTCATCTTTGATTTAACACGTCCAGCCAGGTTTTTCTAGAAGGAATGAAATCTCTCCCCTTCCCCTTCCTGTCTTCCACCACTCAGGAGACACAGCCTGGGGTCAGTATCAGAGCCAGCACAGCAACTGTGTACTTCACTTTTCTCAGGAGTGAGCACTCTCCTTAGGACGCCCACATCTCACACAGGAGGGTCTGGGGTCTGTCTTTCTGATTCCCACTCCCTGCTAATGCCCACCCAGGGAGCCAGGAGACGACCCTTGGATGTCATCCACCCACGTGGGACATCAGGAAGGAGTTCCTCGTTCCTGGCTTCCACCTGGTTTGCAGGAATTTGGGGGAAATGAACCTGCCAATGGAAGAGAGAGAGAGAGAGCCAAATAAAATGAAAATAAATAAATCAGAACTAAAATGCAAGCAACAGCAAATCCCCTTTTGGAGCAAACTCTTTCTATCGTGTGATCCTGGAGCTCAATTCCTCTTTGAGCACCTCTAGGCTGTCCACATGATTCCCAAGGCATCTAGGCCAAGGGCTGACCCAGACACTCACAAGGTGCCAGCCTGATCAGTCTCCTAACTGGCCTCCATAGTTTCCAGCTACTGGTGGTGATATCCTACATGGCCATGTCATGTGGCCGCTGAAAACAGGACCACCACACTGGAGGAGAGCTAAAGTCCTTCGCAGAGAGTATGGGACAACCGGGACCCCCTCCTCCTCTGTTCCCCCTCCTGGAAACAGAAGCCCATGGTGGTCAGCAAAGAAGAAGGGGCTGATGTTCAGTCACCAAGTATAAACAAGGTAGGATTAGAACCCAGGGCCAGCAGTGAAACTGAGAGGACCTCACAGGAAGTGAGTTGAGAAAAGGTCTGATATCTGCCCACAGCAAGTGGCCTAACTGGCACCCTCTCTGGGTCCTGTGGGCAAAGGCAGCAAGGCATTCGGGAGGACACACCACAGCCTCCCAAGGGGGAGGGGCTTTCCCAGGTGGGGCAGCCACGCCTTGCTGGTACAGTCCCCTGGGACCCTGAGGAAGGAAGGACCCTGCTGTGGAAAAGCTAAAGAGCCAGGTTGAAGCACCAGCATGATGCAAGCTCCCTCGAGCTGTGGGACACAGAAGGCCAGAGCCTGGGGAGCAGGGAAGTCTGCCTGCGGCGCCCACATCCCATATGGGAGTGCCTGAGTTTGAGTCTCAGCTTCAGCTGTCTGCTAATGTGCATCCTGGGACACTGTAGATCCCAATCCAAACCTTTTGTCTCTGGCACCTGTGTCAGCCAGGAAACGTTCCCAGCTCCTGGCTGCAGCCTGGCCCAGGCCCTGGCTATTGTGGACAGTTGGAGAATGAACCGGTGGATGGAAAGTGTCTCTGTGACTCTCTTTTTGTTTCTGCTTTTCAAATAAGTGAACACAACATAAAATTTAAAGAAAGAAAGAGGAAAGAAGGAAGGAAGGAAGGAAGGAAGGAAGGAAAGAAAAAGAAAGAAAGAAAGAAAGAAAGAAAGAAAGAAAGAAAGAAAGAAAGAAAGAAAGAAAGAAAGAAAGAAAGAAAGAAAGAAAGAAAGAAAGAAAGAAAGAAAGAAAGAAAGAAAGAAAGGTAGATTGATTCAGGCCAGAAACTGAGAGTGAGTGTCCTGGTAACAGGCCTACATGTCCCCACCCTACCCCCACCTCCTGAGTTTGGGTTCATCTGTGGCCAAGAGGGAGCCTAGAGGCACCCCTGGGAAGCCATGCACCAGGTCAGGGTATGTTACAGGAGCTACTCTGGCAGCTGCCACGGGGCAAGGAAGAGGATGACAACAAGAGTCCAAGGCAGGATAAGTCGGGAGAGGGGCCTGAATGGACCTGGGCACTGGGTTTCCTACAAGGGCTGAGGATATGAACAAGAGGCAAGCGTGGAGCTGAAGGAGACAGCAGAAACTGCAGGGAAAACTCACGGATACAAAGCTGGGTTTGTATTTACCACACAGTGCAGCAGACAGAACTGGTTACTCCTCTCAACACATTTTACCTTCAGGTTTTGCTAAGCTGTGAGTCAGACTTAGCCACAAAAATCTTACATGGTGGCCCTGATCAACAGGTTAATTCTCTACTTGCAAGCACCAGTATCCCATATGAGTGCCAGTTTGTGTCCCAGCTGCTCCACTTCCCATCTAGCCTCCCTGTGTATGGCCTGGGAAAGCAGGAGTGAACCATCAGATGGAAGATTCTTTCTGCCTCTCCTTCTCTCCGTAAAACTGTCTTTTCAATAAAAATAAATATTTTTAAAAATCGTATTAATCTTTGAACCTCCAGGGCCTAACACTGTACCTTCTCCCTATTAAAAGGTGCCAAATAAACAAGATATGATTGGCTAGAATGCAGAAATATTTATAACTATAAATAGCAGAGCTGATGATGCTTCATCTGAACTGCTTGGAGACAGAGGTGTTTCAGATTCCACAATTTCTTGGCTTTTTTTTAATATTTGCATAGAAAATGAAATAATCCAAAATCCAAAAGTTTTGAGTGTGCTGTTGGCACTAAGCTTCCAATTTTGGAGTATTTCAGATTTCTCGGCTTTCAGAGTTCTGCTGACATGCGATGATGACTAATCCTACTGGGTTAGTGCAAGGAGCTGCAAGTTACCATCAAAGCATATTTTATAGGCTGCATTCAATATGAAGTTGTTGAGGTTTTATAAGAGGGAGAGAGCCATTTGAATCAGAGCTATCCTTGGGAAAACTAAACTCTCCAAGATGTGCTTAATGGGTTCAAGCAGGGAGCAACTAGTAGCGAGGTCAGGAAAGCTGCATCCATGTTTCATCTTAAACAGTTTCTGCCCGGAGTGTCACTAGTGGTCCACGGCCGCATTCTACAGGCTGTAAGCTAACTCGCTTCCTAACCATTAAGTGAAAAAAAAAAAAAATCACATCTTAGGGATTTCAATTAAGTCAGACACACATGCAGTATAAAGGCAAACTGTGCTATTCGGATCCAAATATTTCCATCTTTGCTGCTAGCATCACCTCCTTCAGATGCCAAAAACCTCCTCAGCTCCCCCAGAGTGGAGCCTGTGCCACGCTGAGTACGAAAAGGCCCACATCTGGCTTGAATGATCATTGTCCATAGAAAGAAACTTATCTCCAGAACTGGAGAAGGAAAAGTTTGTTTCAGGGGAACAAAGAAAAAGATGCATTTTATCTCAAGCCATCTTGCTTCAATTTTATAAATTTCCCCCCTGCCAAACACATTTCAGGCCAAGTTTCTTACAAAGTTCACATGTCCCAGAAAACGGGACTCCCAAAAGAAAATGCCTCCTATGGATCACCCTGGTTTGGCAGATTGCCTCTCCTGATAACCAGTAAAACAGACTCTGCTCTCAGAGGGGAAAGCCTGCAAAACAACCAAGCAGTGGTCCACGCTACTCAGAACAGCTGAGCATCGCCTGAGCACGTGGAATATGGAAAAACAACACTCCCGAGCAGGGACCGGGACCAGTTTGCGTTCACATCACTACAGTGCCTTGTGCAGAGTCCACGTTTCTACATGTGAACACACACTTGCATATGACCAGGTTTATGAAACATCTCAATTCCTGAGGTACAGCCCGGGAGAAGGCATTCCATTCATTTTCAGAGTAAGGTGTTTAGCTGCAAGTGGACAAGTAGCCTGCACAACAGATTGCAACCCTGGGGAAAGTTACAAGCAGCCAGCTAGCACAACAGCGAGGTCACACCCAGACAGCTCTTAGGTGACACAGG